GGCATCATTGCCTCTGTTTTGTGAGGTGGAGGACTTTGTGGACTGGTGCTGGGTTAATGGGTTAATGTTGGACTTGTGGGCTTGGGCAGCATTGGGCTGGGATGTTTTCGTGATGCATACTTTCTTTACATAAAACTCTCTTATATATATGAGTTGTTGTGGATTTGTTTCTCTAAAGTACCTAGACTAATACAGCAGGGGAGGCAACTTGTAGGAATAAAATAATTCCAATAAAACCTTCAGAGGAAAGCCAGCATTTTTTCTAAGCTATCCAGTGATTGTCTACTACCTAAAATACCAGGCATCACCGAGCATCATAAGTTAACTGCCAGTGCAGGGACTAAGGGTTCAAGGACAGAAGATAGAGGTCCCTTTCAGCTTGGAAGCCTGCAGGGAGAAAGGCAGGAAGACTAATAGGTAGCCAACATCGCATGAAGGCTTGCCTCTCCACCACCTTCTCCCACTGCAACCATCCAAAATGCTGCAGCTGTTTTTTTTTAAATACACAGTGCTCCCCCACACGTTCCCAGCTTTTTCCCATGCTAATTCCCCTTCCCAGGGCACCTAGAAAACCCTTGTGAACCGAGACACCCCCTAATATTGGGGGTTTAGCCCCTGCATTTCTTTGCCACCTGGCACAATTCCCCCAAGTGTAAATCAGATGCCCTGCTCAGTACCGACCAAGACTTGCCTGCTGCGCTTATGCCACACAGGATGCAGCAAACGTCGTAAAACGATTCCCATCTGGATCGTTTCCCTGGCTGGCTCTTAGGCTGCCAGGCAGGGAAGGATTTCTTAAAAAGTGTGGGGCTATTCATTCTCAGTGTGCCCACAGCAGCCTCACACATCCTCACACGTCCTCACAGTGCCCACAGCATCCAGTGCTCTGCCTCACGATCTTTTCAGGAAATGAAGGAAGGGAAGATGACACAAGGCAGGGCAGCGGGTGTCTGAGGGATCTGTTCTGCTGGGGGTGGGGGTGGGGGGGAAGTGTTTCATTTGGGACAGCAGAAGGCAAAGCAGAAAAGGCAAGATTTAATCAACTTGTGGGAGGCCTTAACCTCAGGGTAAAGAACTCAGGCTATCAAAGAGCAAGAAAACATCTGTGAGCACTGGAGAAGAGGTAAGACGAAAGATATCTTGTCAGACGATTCATCTGTGAGGAGCCGCTGGGTGGAGTGGACTTGGCGACGAGCTGCAAGGCTGGCAGTTCAAACCTGCCAAGAGGCACCTTGCAAGACGGAGCTGGAGGCGCCGTCTCCGAAAAGTCACCCTGTGGAGCACCTCTACTCGGCACACATGGGGGCGCCCAGCTGGATCAGCTCGATGGCAGTGACCCAACCATCTCCCGTGAGCAAGGTAAGGGTCCGAGTGGGAAGAAGTTAGGAGGAGAATGCGGTTCTAAAGGAAAGCAAAGACTGTCAGCTCTACTTAGACAGCTCGGGGCTAATAGCCCATGTCCATCTTTGCTCCTTGTCTAACTTTGGGCAAGTCATTGAGCCCTTTTGAGCTTGGTTTCCCTATCGCTAGGAGAGGTGTTAATATTTAAAGAGTGGATATAAGGATAGCTGGATGGATGGATGGATGGATGCATGGATGGATGGACAGTCCAAATTATTTTTCAATTCCATTTTTCCACAAACTTTTTATACATGTGTACACACACACACACACACACACACACACACACAAACACACACAGAGGAGGACGGGAGAGAGTCCAGAAGTGTGGAACTGCACGGCTGTTCGGCTGAGCTGAAGATGGACCTTTATGCCACTGCCATTCAGTCACTTCGGACACACAGACGCCTAAGCCAGCGTGCCCAAGACTTGGCACACCTTTTGGGAGCAGACAGCCTCATCTTTCGGCTCTGGATGGGCTGGCAGCAAACAGGTTTTAAACAAATGGTGTCAATGCATATTCCAGAATTGAATATGCACGAATTTTACACAATTTCCATGTCTTATCTCTGCATGTTTACCTGTATTTCTGATGTAGTAAGGCCACCTTTTGGGTTGCTTCTTCCAATACTTTATCATCTTGTAACCAGCCCTGAACAAAACACACAGCAGTAAGGACATAAGCAAATCAATCCAGTTTCTTAGGAGGAATCATGTGCTACTATTGCCAACTCTTGTCACTGTCTGGCAAAAATTTGAGTAGGCTTCACAATGTGGGCATTGTGCTTAATTGAGTATGTAATCAAGAACTCAAGAATTCCTTAAGGAATGAAGTGGCTTCTACCAGGGAACCAAAACAATGTGTCTTTTCAACTCGGCATCGAAAGTTCCAGCCGACTTCTATCAGGGGGTTTTCTTCAGCCGGCACTGCGGAAGCCAACACGGCCGCAGTACCTGGGGATTCGCTGCCCTCCGAGGGAGGCACTTGGGAAGCATTCTGTTGTTTGTTTTGTTCTGTGCGGTCGAGTCGTCCTGACTCACAGGAATCCGTGTACAACAGAACGAAACACTGCCAGATTCGGCAGCATCCCCATGAGGCCACTGTTAGAGCCACCGGGTGGGTCCATCTCGTCGAGGGTTGTCCTCTTTCTCAACAACTCTCCAACTGAACAGACCACAGCTCCGCCCCCTCCCTCCTAAGTTGCTGCATGGCTGTAGTTCCTCCCAGCCAGACCGCCTGTGCCTCTGGCCATCCGCGGTGTCGAACGTTGCCTTATTTGCTTGGTTGACCATCAATTCCAACAGTGACTCAGAAAGCAGTGTGATTTTTTATATTCAGTCCTTTTCATTGCTGATAGTGACTCAAACTCATTTCCACGGAGCTTTGTGTAATGTCAAGTCTTCAGGTAAAAGGACACTGCATGGTTCATCAGATGCTGGAGTTAATCCCGAACTGCGACTCACATCAAGCACGAACTTCATTTCCCTGGCCGCAGCCCCGTGAAGGCAGGCCCTTCTGCTTCTGTGGGTTCCAGAGGCCCGGAACACTCCCTCCGGGAAAGTGTTCACACTGAGTGCTCACTGACTTCCTACCTGCTGGCTGCTCCAGTAAGTCCAGACTTCACTTTGGGGTTCAGGAAGGGAAAGGGGATAAACAGTTTTCAAAAAGGAATAAAGTAATATGAAGTCTTACCACAGGAAACAGGGCAAATTTCTGAAGAAAGTCTTGAGATTCATACTGATCAAAGTCACCAAAATCAGCTGCAGAAAAGGACAAAGGTTCACATGTCACGTCTGGTGCATTTGCCTGGCAATACATGCGAAGCAGAATCATGCACACAGCGCTTGGGCTGCGTGCTTGTCAATAAGCTCAGAAGCCAAATCTGTCTTCACACAGTTGTCGAAAGTTGGCATTTCCAGAACAGGGTTTAGAAAACGTTAATTCGACAGATCGGTGGGTCTAAACTGTTAAAACTGCCTCTGGGGAATGAGGAGAACGCCTTCCCAATGACAGAGAATATAATCTCATTTCATGACAACGCCTACACTGTGATCACAGCGTCCACTCAAAGCCACCCAGCAGCTCAGCAGGGGGAAAGGCCTGGTAAGGGTACAGCCTCCAGGGAAGCCGCTCTACTCTGTCACTGGGGGGAGGGGAGCCTGAGTCCACTCGCTGGCATCTAACCACCCTGCCAGCTCTGTGCTTACTGCTGCACTGCTCTGCCTCCTGCAGGGCGAGCAGTCAGAGGACCTCTGAGCAATGGCGCCAAATCAAAGAAACACGTTAAAGGGAGATGAAGTCGATTTGGGGTTTTAAAGGGTTAAGAAACAAGTTGACAATTTGGAGGGGGAAAAATGCCTGAAGAAATAAGCTCTTAAAGCCAAAGAGGATACTCTCAGGAGCATCAAAGTGCCTGGAAGGCGAGGGTGGCTGTGTCTCCCAGGCATTTGTTTGTCTGGGTACACTACGCGTCCCGAGCCTGCTAACGTCTGCAGGAAGGTCCTTACGTGTTCTTCTGCGTACATGTCAGTTCCCAAGGTCGAATGCTCACTATTTGGTGAAACGAAGTTCCATCACATAGGTACAGTGGCCCGAGCACATGCAGATTAGGCGAGTAAGGAATAAAAGCCTTAATCCAAACAGGTGAGATGCAAAAATCTCTATCTGTGCTCACTGTGGACACTCTCGGGTCCCAGACACCTGTTTATGGAACTAGTAAAAATGAAGCAACCTGAAAGCGTGAGTGAGCACCACTTCACCCACTCATGGGGCAAGGGTTCATCCTAAGACAGTAGTAACAACAGGTTAAATACTTGGATGAGCGGGGCATAAAATGGGAAAAAAAGCAAAATTAAAAGAACGTTCGCATGCATAAAGTGTGCAGAGACCGTTTCTGGAGCCATGAAGGCTGCTGGATGGACTCCTAGAACTACTGCCTTTATATCTTTAAACCTTAAACCCCAAAAGACCTCCCCTTGGTGATTGGTACGGGTTATGGGTGAGGCTGCTAACTGCAACATTAGCGGTTTGAAACCACCAGCCGCTCCACAGGACAAGGATGAGGCTATCTACTCTCATAAAGAGTTGCTGTCTCAGAAACCCACAGAGGCAGTTCTAGTCTGACCTAAAGAGGTGTTATGAGTTGGCATCAACTCAATGGTGGTTTTTGGAAAGTCTTTTTAAAGCCAAACAAGAAATTAACTTAACTGGGATGGGAGAGGCGGTGGCCGGTTAACCGCAAGTCCGGAGGTTCAAACCTACCAGTTCTCCAGGGGCCAGGGAGAGAAAAAAGAGGTTGTTGCTTCCTTAAAGATCTACAGCCTCAGTGACCAACCTACACAGGGTTGCCGAGTCAGGATCAACTCGGTGGCAATGGGTTTGGGTTTACCTGTGATCAAACTGACAAAAACAACTTGAAAGATAAGATAGGAAGCGTAGGGGGCAGGAATTTACGTTTACATCCATACGAGGGAAACACCTCAGAAAGGAAAAAATTCAATAAAATAAAAACGAAAGGAGGGTGAGATGGTGGTACAACGTGAGGAGTGCATTGGTGTGCTGAGGTAACTGCAGACACTGGATAATTGCTGGATGTGTCCCTGTGCATATTCTCAAAGACAAGCTCAATCCCCCGTTCAGAGGCACCGGAACAACGTTGTTAGTGTTTGCCGGCAACAAGTGAGCAAGAGGGTAAAGGAAACAAGAATTCAATCCTTAGGGGACCTCCAGCTTCTGTTGAGGTGGATGTGAACTTGGGAATGGACAGGGGTGATATCTGAACATGCACATAATTCATGTCCGGGAACTGGACACGTGAACTTTACTGAACTGTCAAATGCTTTGTCATACATCTATGGGTTCGTTTCAAAAAATTCCTTAAAACACAGATATGGACATGCACCTACCCATACAGGCTTTTCTATTAATGGATGGTTCGTTCTGGTATCATGCAATGCTATAGATAACCTTCCAGAAGCCTGAGATTTCACTGAGGTTCTCCAAACCAAGCCACTTAGTTCACCGGGTGACAGTTCACTAATACAGAAACACTACTGAAGGGGCACACAGAAAGCACCGGGTGGCAGTTCACTAATACAGAAACACTGCTGAAGGGGCACACAGAAAGCACCGGGTGACAGTTCACTAATACAGAAACACTACTGAAGGGGCACACAGAAAGCACCGGGTAACAGTTCACTAATACAGAAACACTACTGAAGGGGCACACAGAAAGCCAGCTAGCTGTAGGATTCCCAGCTGTTTTTGTTAAAACACACATTCTGGATGAGATTAATGGCTTTATTTACCTTGAACAGCTAAGCCTGCTAGCTGAACTGCTTGTTCTAGTGTACAGGGAATGTTTCCTTCCAAGATATCTTTCTTCAGCTGCAAATAATACTGATACCTATCAAAAAAGGTCAAGGTGTAAAAGTCAGCATCAGAATTACCTTCAATTAAAATGCATGCATTTTACTATAACTTACCGTATATACTCGAGTATAAGCCAACCCAAATATTAGCCGAGGCACCTAATTTTACCACAAAAACTGCATTAAAAATGTGTTGAAAACTTGCCTTATACACAAGTATATACAGTGGTTGAAGAGCACGAACCATAACACCAGGTGGTTTAACAAAATTACTGGAATTCCCTTGCCCATATCCACAGAAGTGTACACACACAGAGAAACACACACAAACACACGATTTAACTGATGCATTGAGCCATTTATCCTAACTATAGATCCTTCAGGGCAGTGGTTGTAGAAATAAAAATCAGTGGCCAGTCTTGTTCTCTAAAAACACTGTCTGTTAGTGCAGACATATCAGAGTTGGCAGTTTGACTCCATCCTCTAGGGCCACTGAGTTGGAATTACCTCGACAGTGCAATTGATTTGGTTTATGGGTTTATAGAAGCTATACCCCCAAACTAGAACATTCCTTGACAAGTTCATCAAAAAGTCAGCTTCCTTCGCTTTCTCATTGAAGTTTCCCATACCCCGTCAGGAATCCAGCGCGTTCATTAAAGCATGTGTTATCAGATGGTACGATACTTATTTGTTACACCAGGTCCACCAGTGGGAGCGGAGCAGCCTCTCCAGCCCAGGATGAGAGTGTATCCATCACCCACACTGGCCCACCTTCCCAGACCACGCCCCATGCCGCTCAACACATGTTTAAATAAGGGAGTCTAAATGGCCCGTCCCTGCTATCTCCCCTCACCCCTTGGCTCCCACTGCTTTCTTCAATAAGGACCTGTTTACAGTCAGGGTGGGTTTATCCCGAACACCCGCTCCTGCCTTCGTTGGCTTTCCCTTCTCCCAATTATTAACTGACACAGTACTTAAAACACAGCGTTCTTCAAACGGGGGGCAGAATCGGGTGCTGACTCTGTGCAGGGCACTGTGGCAGATACTGTGGGCCAGCAAAGCTAAGGAAAGCCGGGATGAGATCTAGGACAGAGATGACATGTCTGAATGAGGAGCAAATACAAACAAATCCTCAGACAGTCTAAAGACAGAGCTCATGCCAGCCTAGAGGGGGTCAGAGGCGGCCTGGGGAGAAGATGCCTCTGAACAGTGACCTGGAAGATGACCAGGATTCCATCACACAAATCTGAGACCAAGATCTCCATGTCACAAAGGGGAAAAGGCATGTGGCATGTGCGGGGCACTACAAGTGGTCCAGCTGACAGATGGGTGCAAAAATAATACTAAAGAAGGTTAACAGAGACAAAGTGGAGGGGATTCTGGAGGGGGAAAGCAGGCTCAAGAATCCAAATTTCATTCCACTGGTTTTTTTCAGGAACAAAAAACACGAGGTGAGACCATGTACTTCCCTCTACTCTGCTTCTTAATCTCGTCTTCTCTTCCTGTGCTTGTCCCCTTAAAGGAGCCTCCCCATTGGCTAAGATTTCTCATCTTAGATGCCCCACCTGGTCCTAGTAGCATAGTGGTTAAGTGCTTGATTGCTAACCTGGAGGCTGGCAGTGCAAACCCACCCAGCTGCTCTGTGGGAGATAGACCAGCAATCTGCTTTTACAAAACCAGGGAAATCTGAGGGAAAAGGACTGCTTCTTTTAAAGGACTGACTTTGCACATGCGCGCACACACAGTGTCCCTAGACTCTAGCTGCGGGACTCCAAGAAAGATAAGAACCCCCAGCACATTGGGAAATGCACACAGATCTTGTGACTCTTGTTTTAAAAAATACAATTCCCCTCTCTCATTGCTACAAAGGATCAGAAACGAAACCAGAGACACCTGAAAGGTGACGTCGCAGCCAGGGCGAAACCTCATTTTCCCTGGAGCCCTCCCTTGGGGCCTGGAGAACCCGCAAGTCTTGCAGCCACACGTGCGGAGGAAACCGCACACAGACCCTGCAGCCAAGTCTGCGGTGAACGGTGAACGCTGGGGGAGGCCAGAGGACCAAGTTTCCATGGGTCTTTCCTCTTCTGACTTCCACCCCAGGGCCCCGTCTGGAAGCGAGCAGCCCAGCCCTGACCCTCACCTGGTAATCTCCTGCTGCAGCTGCGAGACGGAGGGCACGTAGAAGACCACGCCGAAGTACACGGTGGGCTCCAGCGAGTATTTATCCAGCTGCTTCTTCAGCGGCTTCTCCAGATCCACCCAGCGGCGCTGGCTCTGCTTGTTGTAGTACCAGAGGCTGAAGTAAGTGACCTGCGCGGAGGCAGCGGCACAAAGGGACTCCATTACTCTCACTGCCTCATCCATGACCTGGGACCAAGGGGCAGCAGGCTCCCAGTGCGGCTTTGCTCAAAGAGGGGCAGCAGAAACTTGTGGGGTTTTTTTAAGGCTAGCTAAGGAGGCCTGGAAGAATCTCTGGTGGCGCCATGGACTATATTGGGCTGCTGGCCGCAAGGTTGATGGTTCAAATCTACCAGCTGCTCTGCAGGAGAAAGATGAGGCTGCCAGCTCCCAGAAAGACTTACAGCCCCGGAAGCCCAAGCAGCAGTTCTCCTGGGTCCTTTGGGATTGCTGAGTCAGAACGGACTTGAAGGCAGGGGACAGGAGCCCTGGCGGGCATTGGTTATGCTCTAGGTTAAGTTCTCAGCTACTACCTAACAGGAGGCTGAAAGTTCGAACCTACACAGCAGCTCTGTGGGGGAAAGACCGGACAGTCCTCGAAACCCTCTGGGCAGTTCAACTCTCACGTGGGGTCGAGATACGTCAGCATCAACGTATCATCATCTACACCTACGAGAGTCCTTCCTAGTCAGGAACGAGAGGAAAGAGTCCATTACATCCGAAAGCCACGTCTTGAACTCTGCACAAAATGCACCCCTGCGCCTTTACACTGGCCTAGAAATTAAAATGTAAGCAGGTGCGATGTTTTTCTTGATACAACTCTTAACAAAAATCTAGTGTGCTGACCAAATAATGTTCTTTTAAAATTACTGAAGTACTGAATGGATTGAGATTTGTTTTCTCACAGCTCCGGAGGCTACCTGTCCAAATTCAGGGGGTTACCCCTAGAGGCCCCACTCCGCTGTCAGCTTGTCACACTGTGATGGCTTCCGTGTGCCTGCGGTGCTGGAAGCTATGCCACCAGGATTTTAAATACCAGCAGGGTCACCCAAGGGGACGGGTTTCAGTGGAGCTTCCAGACGAAGGATTAGGAAGAAGGAATCAGCAGTCCACTGCTGAGGGATTAGCCGCCGAGACCTTTTGGATCTCTGAGGAACACTATCTGACAGGAAGACCCTTAACACCCTCCTGCATAAAGAAGACCCTCAACAAGACGGTCCGATGGGCTCAAAGCTCACAGCTATGAGGAGTGAGTGGAACAGGCAGTGTTCTCCGCTGTACACCGGCCACTACGAGTTGGCACGACTCGACAGCACCTGACAACCGTGACCGCTAGGGAAAGGCTTTCTCTCCGAAGGCTCGGGGGTCAGGTTCCTTATTCCTAAACTCCTGGGTGATCTTCATGGGCTCCATATCTCTGCTCTCCCATCTCCGCTGGACTAGTTTTAAAAATCTCTTCCATATCTCAAAGACAAACCCTGCACTAATCCTGCCTTGTTAACCTAACAAGGACAACCCATTTCCAATGGGTTTATAACAGCAGGCATAGGGTCAGGGCTCACACCACACACTTTTGGGGGGCACAATCCAATCCATAACCACGGAGTGTTAATTCGAATATGTTAACTGAATTGCCACTATTCTCAAATTTGACTTGTATAAATTGAGAATTTCATGTACTATGAATTCTAGCAATACAGAGGCAATTGTAATTCTTCTTGGCGACCGCCACCCCCCACCCCCACCAAGTTCATAAGATGCAAATTAAAACAACAAATACTATGGAAGTGAATTCCCTCTATGCCCACCCCTCTCCTTCACACATACA